TGCGTGGTACGACTCGGCTCGGTACGGCTCAGTACGGTACGGCACGGCTCGGTTCGGCTCGGGTTGCGTTTCCACTGCAGTTTAGTATCGCTTTAGAATGGGCGGGATTATTCACATGTCGTTATAGTTGCGCCGCCTCTACTGCCGCGACTCCTAAAAAACTTCTTCATTCCGCGTCGCCCTATCATATGAAAAATCACCCTTGTGTGGACACACACACACACACACACACATTTAAATATTCATTTATGGTGAATATTCTGAACAAGTTTTCTGTATATGACCCAATATTTTGATCAATATAGGAATACATTATGCAAGCTGTTCTATGTTATTCAGATTTCCAGAAAAAAAGCATATTGGCTTAATCTGGTTATGACGATCAGGCTATTTTTTTATTTTATTTACAAATTTAAAACTTCTAGAGGTCAAGAGGTAAATACATATCCTAGCATCATTATGATACATATGTGGTGCCTGTGGGAAGAGGGCAAATCATTGTGAAATAATACAGAGCAATTACTACACATTATGTTCCCTCGGTGATGCATGTACAGTAAGTGGTGGCTGAGAAGAAATGTCTTGCTGACTTAATGTGCTTTGGCCTAGAGACATGCAAGTCTCCAACCTCGCTTGTGATCTTACCCATAGGAAAAAAATCACCCTTGTGTGGACACACACACACACACACACATTTAAATATTCATTTATGGTGAATATTCTGAATAAGTTTTCTGTATATGACCCAATATTTTGATCAATATAGGAATACAGTATGCAAGCTGTTCCATGTTATTCAGATTTCCAGAAAAAAAGCATATTGGCTTAATCTGGTTATGACGATCAGGCTATTTTTTTATTTTATTTACAAATTTAAAACTTCTAGAGGTCAAGAGGTAAATACATATCCTAGCATCATTATGATACATATGTGGTGCCTGTGGGAAGAGGGCAAATCATTGTGAAATAATACAGAGCAATTACTACACATTATGTTCCCTCGGTGATGCATGTACAGTAAGTGGTGGCTGAGAAGAAATGTCTTGCTGACTTAATGTGCTTTGGCCTAGAGACATGCAAGTCTCCAACCTCGCTTGTGATCTTACCCATAGGAAAAATGTATTGCTCAGTGGTTGCTTTTCCTAAGCTCAGGAGACTTAGATGAGATTCTCATATATCTCTCATTTTAGTATCAACAGCATTTCAGATGTTTCTCCTAAAATTCCTTAGGAGAAATGGAAGTAGACACAAAAGAGACATGAGAAATATTTGAGAAAAAATGAGTCAAAACAGAGAATGTGGTGGAAGAAACATAGAATCTCTTTATTGTCTTGCTGCAATCTCTATCAAGACTCCATTATAAAAATGTTTTACTGCTCAGAGGTTGCTGTTTTTATTGCAATGGGGTTTTTCACCTTTAACGGTCAGGACAGTAGGAGTAGAGACAGGAAACAACTGGACAGGTGAGAATTGAACAAGAGTAGGAAAGTATCTTTAGCTGGGATTCGAACCCATGCCGTCTGAGATGCAGTTGTGCCTTCATGTCAATGTGCTGCCCACAATGATATGGCTCTGACAGAGTTTACGCTACGCTCAGGATACTAAGGGGTGATTCTCTTATATGTCTCATTGAGATATCAGCTTTGTCTTAAGATGTCTTCAGTTTTATTTTAGGAGAAACGTTAAACTTTTACTAATATTGTAAATACTAAAACTATCATTTAAATAGCATTAAACATTTCAGAATATCAATATTACTATTACTAATATTACTAGTTTAAATGTTATAATTTATCTTCATTGTCCAGCACTGTATATACACCACATTTTCCAAACACACTAGAAAGGAATTACAAGTGCAAGATGTTTAGTATAAACATATACTACCTTTTTATTTATTCATTTTTTTTAACCTTTTTTAAACAAATGTAACACTAGTGTACCAGTTAGTTTAAAAGAAGTAACTAATAGCACACTTGAATAAACTTCTTTTTCGTAAGGGTTATGGTTTCCTCTGTTAAATCACTGTGAAATAAAACACTGTCTACATAAAACAACTTCAAATATGACAATGCATATACTGTCTTTGATTGAAATGGTGTAAATGACATTGAAGCTAACCAGAGGGAAGAAAAATAAAATAAAAAAGAGATCTCTTTACCTTTCAAATATTTCTCCTAGACAGAAATGAGTTTACATTAAGATTGAATGGACACTTTTGCTTGAGTCTCCTGCTTCTCAAACTTGTCTCCTGAGACAAAAACGCTAACACTCTCACAATGGTCTCCTTTAAATCTTTAGAAGAGATCTCAACAACTTTACACACTGTGCTCAGATATTTCTCCTTAGCGACACTGGATCTCTCACATTTGTCTCTTTTAAAGCCTTAGAAGAGATCTCAACAACTTTACACACTGTGCTCAGATATTTCTCCTTAGCGACACTGGATCTCTCACATTTGCCTCCTCAAAAATTTTGAAGAGATCTCAACAACATCAATTGTCAGGAGACAAATCTGAGAGATCCAGAGTCTCTAGCTAAGGAGAAATGTCTGAGCACAGTGGGTGATATTGTTGAGATCTCTTTTAAAGCTTTAAAGGAGACCATTGTGAGATTGTTATTTTTTGTCTCAGAAGACAAGTTTGAGAAGCAGGAGACTCAAGCAAAAATCTCAATTCGATCTTAAAGTAACCTCATTTCTGTCTAGGAGAAATATTTGAGATGTTAAAGAGATCTCACTTTTGATTTTTCTTTCCTATGGGTATGGGTATCTGCTTTGGGAATTGTTCCATGTGGGAACTTTAGTGCGCAAACAATCGTGTACAGTTAATTAAGGTGAACATGAATAACAAAAGAAGCCTTTACGCTCTTCTACTCTCTGATGCACACACACAAAAACCATTTAATACATTATATCCTCACACTCAAACATACAAGCCCACACAGAGAGCAGTTTAGCACTTCTTCAGGGCTGATCATTAAGCCTGACGTTTACTTAGGCCGTGTCAAGAACAGCTGGTCATCTCAGCAGGGTCAGCAAAAGGCCAGCCTTGTCATAACAATCGGATACAAATGTGATATTTTTCTTGACACAAATCAGCACGGATGAGTGACACTGTATTTCACTGCAAGGAGATGCTACACAGATTCAGGGGCGCAGCAACCATGTTAACTGTAAATTGGGTCAAGAGGCTAAGAAGTTGCATCTGCATTGGGCCGAAAGATGCATCTTCATCACAATGCAAGAAAAAATCTCTAAAAAAATAATAAATTTTAATGGTAAAATGACTGTAAAATTGCTAACCGTAAAAACCTGTTAAATGTTTAACAGCAAGTTCCCTTACTATATTCAGTGAAAATCTGTAATAGATACAGTAGACAGGACATTTCATGCAATTTTACAGTAAATATTGTTAAATGTACAGTTTTCGGAAGTGAAAAGCAAGTAATTTACAGTGAAAAAAAAACGCAAATTGACATTCCCAGAATTCCTTCACATTTGATGGTTTTTCATGTAATTGTTTATTCTAGGTTTTTTGTTAGCACTTATGTACATTAGGGTTTTATGTGAACTCATATGTTGTTAAATTAATGTTGTCATGTTTGTTGTCATGAATGGTGATTTATATTTGTGCATGTGCCACTGTGAACCTTCTACATATTAGTATTTGTGGAAAAGCTACTTGTGATGAACTTTGATTCATCATGTGGCTTTCTTTACCACCTGTGTTTTTATGGTGGCTGTCTCTATATTATAAAGGTACAAAACAGATTTTAGTATTTTGGTGTATTAACATTATATCAGTTATGATATGTTTTTTTTTAAGTTACATTACATTAAGTTACACTTTAAGCTACATTCGTAAAACTTAAAATGTTGCTACCATATTTTATTATAGTAAAGTTCTGGCAACCAAAGATGCAATTTTTATCATGAATTTCACTTTTTTTTTTTTTTTTTTTTTTTTTTTACAGTGTAAGGCACAGAAGATGTGAAATGATTACAAGAACATTATAAGTGACTTTGTCCTCACAAAACATGGTCAGTGTCAGGCAACCCACTGGCTGATCCACACTACCCATCTGTCCTGGATAAGTAATTCTATAAAATTAACAAGTAGATCAAATGGGAGAGATAATCTACAAGTTTACTCTCTACAGGGTGTCCCTATTTAACACAGTCTGTGTACTGGAAGCAGAAGGAACCATGCAAAGAGCACAAAGCATCCTGGAGGCTAATGGCCAACTATTGTCTAACCATAGAAGGAAATAACCAGCCTACAGATGTACAAACACACACACACACACACACACACACACACACGCAAACCCTGAGATGGATGACTCTCATTGCAAGTGTCAGGATCAGTTTACTTCTGCTAAGTATCACAGCTTTCAAGGGCATAAAACAGATAGAAAAGTGCTGGACCAGGCTTATGTCATTATGTGTGCAGTCTGCCATATAAGTGGAAAACAAAAGAAAGTGGGTGAGAAAAATGGAGACAGCCTCAAATCAAAGGAATGTACATGGACGGATGATGTTTCAAAAAGACTGAACATTACACCATGGTCTACTACAGAATTATGATAAAGTGGAAAGGAATAATTCATTTTCACAATCCTTATGGTGGATCAGGATGGAAATTTCTCATATGAAGTACTTTCACCTTAAATTTGACCTGCTTGTGTTGTAATTTAAGGAAGTGTTTTTATGGAATGGCAGAAAAAATGACCACCATACTAATTTCTCTATTATCAAACTGGATGTAAGGATTTAGAGTGAAAAAAAAAAACTAAGGTTACAAAACAACACATAATCCATCAGATCCATTGCTAATATTTAATAATGCTGTTGTTTTCCCACTACAAATGATGTTGCATGTAAACTAAATAAAAACTAATATGATTTCCATCTTTAAAATGCCTAAGTTTAATATTTTATCCCGTATAATATTTCATAGAGATATGAAAATGTACTTTAGAGCAGGAATGACCCAGGAAGCACAGCATGAGCAAAGCAGAAAGAGAAAACAGGGAAATTAAAACATACTCCTGTTATTCTGACCGACAACTGTGAAGGAGCTAGTAAACATTGCAAAGTCTAGAGGAAAAGAGAGTGAGGTGGGGGTTGAGGGAAAGACTGAAAGCATGAGAGAGAGTGAGAGATCTAAAGAGATGGGAGTCTGGAGGCTGGAGAAATGTCTGTGTGTCATGGCAGATAGAGAATGGAGGGCTTTGAGATTCTCAGCCATCTGGCACTTTCCTCTAGGCTTTCACAAATCTCTTCTATAATCACAGAGGCTGTGCCGTCCCTCCTCCTCCTTATGTGCTACTTTATCTGTCCATCATGGGGGTCAGGAGCAACATTCAACACATTGCATGGTATCGAGAGTAAAGATGAGGATAAGGTGGAGGTAACCTGCCACAAAACAACAAAGAAGTGTTATGTCTGACTGATATAATTATTGTTTGTGAAAAATCAGAACAAAACTGCTTTGTACAAAACACATCTGTTAATACTAATACTAAAGCTTTAGTTAGTTATAATGAGGCCATGATTTAGTTGTCGCTCTCTATTATTACTGTAGAAAGAAATTCCAATCTTTTAGGACATTAGGCATAAATTTCTATTAATTGCAGAGCCATTTACTATGACAGCTACAGGGTAAAAGCCCTCACTTGAGGCCAAAATTTAACTTACCAAAATTACAAGAATATTAAAAAGCCTAATCATAAACTTTTATAGCTTTATTTCTTTGAAGCCCACTTATAATATTATTCAAGGATGTAATTCAGCTTTACATCATTTTCACTCTCTCATTTTAATTTAAAGGAATAGTTCACCCTAAAATAAAAATTCCATCAGTTTACTCACCCTCATGTAATTCCAAACATGATAGTATTTTTGTCTTCTGCAGAACACACACACACACACACACACAAAAAAAAATAAATAAATAAAAATAAAAAAAAATGTGAAGAATGTTGGGAACCAAACAACATTGGAGCCCACTGACTTCCATTGTACGGAAGGGAAAACCCCCCCAAATAATCTCAAATATTTCTAAAAAAACAACAACTTTTATTTATGTTTCACAGAAGAAAGAAAGTCAGCAGGTTATATACAAGTCAGACAAGTTTGGAACTATATGGGGTTGAGTAAATAATGATAGAATTGTATGAACTATGCTGTTACATGGAAGTTACTGTACATGGAGGTACTTTCTTTCTTAAAAAAGAACATAAAAGAACATATTTTGAGAAATGTGTCAGTGACAGAAACAGTGGAAGTCTATGGAAACCAAAACGCTGGTTATCACACTCTTCAAAATATCTTCTATTTGTGTTCTGCAGAAGAAAGTCACACAAGTTTGGAACAACATGAAGGTGAGTAAATGACAGGCTTTTCATTTTTCTGTGAACCATTCCTTCAATATGTAGATTTGAGCAGGCATATGCTAATGTGTGTCAATATCATGGTGGTTTGTGAATGACTCATTTTTTCTGGCATCTAAATGGTCCAGGTGGACTGGAGAGGAAGCAGGGAAAAACTTATTGCTCATTAAATGTCAAGTCAATTCAAGTTTATTTGTATAGCTATGTCCTAATCTGACTGGGTTTTAAGAGGCTGAATAAGACAAGAAACCCTGTTGAAATTTCATAGACACTCTCTGCCAGGTCTTGAGCTTAAATTGTGTACACAGGACCCCTGGTGTTCAGGCAGGTCTCTGGTATTTATTAGCATTAACATTTACAGGCACGCGCTGGCTAAGTGAGGGGTCCAGGGCATACTGCCAAAGGGGAAGAGATGCTGAAAATGAGCAGAGAAAGAGGGGAAGACAAGGACGGTTTGAGGGGAGTGGCAGGGGATGACTGCAATGGTGGGTACCAAAATGAGAAAGAGGCAATATACTTTTTCCCTACGGAATCCACAACGTAACAAACCCATGACAGATATTTGCAAAAACAGTTATCTACTAATTGCAAATTATACAAAGCACTTCACATTTTTGGGGCTTTCTTATTGGCCTTTTCTTTTCTGAAAGGTGAAGTAACGAGTCACTTCCCTACCCCTGGGTTAACCCATGAGTAAGACCTTTCTGTGGGAGAAAGTGCTTTTTCTGTGTCGCTTCCGTTTGAATGTGTGTGTGTGTGTGTGTCCAAAGACTCTCACAAGGGGCCTTTCGATTAGATCAACAGAGAGCTGGCTTTGTGGGCCAAGGACTTTTGCAGCTCTCCTAACCCAAATGCGAGATCAAAAGGCATCAGGCTGATGGAGAGGAAGAGAGGAACGGAGAAGACTGTCTTGTGACAGTCACATCTGAATGCTTGTGACTTACAGGCTTTCACAGGTTTTGAACATTTTCAGTTTTCATAGACAGATTTAATGGCTCCATATTGATGATGAGGCTGAATAGCATATGGTAGAGGGCCTGTACATTTGGCTAGTTTTGAGTAGCGATTGGGCTGTGTAATTTTGTTGATTTTGTTGTGAAAACCTGGCAACCCTGCCGAGCGGTCCCTAGCAGTTTAGCACAACTAGGGCCTAGACCATCCCACCCCCATCAGAAAACCCTCAATACCAACCACCATCTGTCATGTACCTTCTCATACAAGCCACAATTTTGAGCCCTGATCACGTCCAGATCACCTGACCCACATTAGCATAACCCTTAGTGTCTAAGGGCAAAAATTGTATGAGTAATTTAAATGAAATAAAAACAAAAATCAGCAAGATCGCCTTAAAATGACATTTACAATGTTACAAATGTTTTATATTTTAAATAAATGCTATTCTTTTGAGCTTTCTATTAATCAAACAAAAACCCCTGCTTTAAGGGATCTAAAATATGGTCATGCAGAATAAGGCATTAATATGTGCTTTATAAGTACTAATAAAAAGACAATATGCTAGTAATATGCAAGCTAGTTAATAGTGAGAATTGGTCCTTAAAATAGTGTTACCATAAATTGATTTGAATTATGTAATTAAAATTGTTTTATTAACTATGTTCAGAAAGATTGTTTTTGAACTGTATTTATGGCAGCTTAATTTACCTGCACTTTTCTATTGCCAGGTGTCATAAAAAAAAGTTTATTTCTGACCTTGTTTGTAGCTTGTAGCAGCACAATTGGCTGGTTTCTTCAGTGAGTTTGATATCAGTTTACCTCTGAGGAAATGAGGACGTACTAGAAACATTATTCTCATGACATCTGTTCAAGCAAAATAAAGCCTGTGGCTGAGTAAATGACATTGGGCGACATTTGACAGAGTCAGAGACAAAATCAATAACAAACAATTCAGGCAATGAGGAAATCCTGCACTTTTAATTACAAGCTGTCTATAAAAACTATCCAGCAGGGAATGTCAAACCGAAGGAAAAACAGTGACACAAACTTGGTCCCTATCGACAAGAATTAAAATTGACATCAAAATAACAGGACACGATAATATAGAGATAGTACTACAGGCAGCGCTGCTCATGAAGTGAAGAGGAACTGTCATACTCCCACATGCATACTCACTTCTGGGTCAGATTCATATTAAGCTCAAGGCGCTGCTTTACTCTGATGGGAAACACTCACACACACAGAAACCGACTTCCCTTTGGGATTCACTTATGGAAATCCATGCTTTTGCTGCATATATCCCAAATGCAGCCTGACATCTTCTCTATGGATAAGCAACAGAGACAGGGTTAGATTCAGCCATATTTAAAGAAATGGGTGGATTTATTTGACCTGAAATAAACACAAATATACACATACACATGCTCAAGCACACACAATGTTCCCATTTGTTACATAAATGTGTACCACTTAGGGCATTTTTCCATACTGTGTACAATGTGAAGCAATGAATCACGACCAACCCTGATTTTTCCTTCCTGCCAAAGTCGAAGCAACACAGCTCAAACATTCGAGTTCAGCCCCGCAAGGAGCTCTTACATAAACAGGTCACAGCAGTGGCTCACTGGCATTTACAGCAGAGAAAAGCACCAGAAAAAAAGATTATTTGGATTCTTTGAAGAGAATGAGCTCAGAAGCAGTTGCCACAAATGAGTGAATCATCACAGTCACAAGAGAAAGGCAAAGTAACCCCAGCATGCTATAATGACAAGTGTCTGTTAAGCATAAATTGAGGTTTTCACACAAACAAAACCATACATTAACTTCCTTACAGGATGCACTTAGGAAGATTAAACCACATGCCACAGCTGCACACCACACATAAAGCAAGACACCGGCTGAAATAATTCCATTATTTACAGAGGAATATACAGTGTACTCGTGGGTAACAGCACATGGGGCAGCAGTACAGAAATCATATGTGTGTGTGTGTGTGTGTGTCTGTGTGTGTGTATATACTGTATATATATATATATATATATATATATATACACACACACACACACACACACACACACATATATAATATTTTTGTGGAAACAATGATACATTTTTTTCAAGATTCTCTGATGAATAGAAAGTTAAGCATTTATTTGAAATAAAAATCTTTCGTATCATTAGAAATGTCTTTACTGTCACATTTGATCAATTTTAAGCATCACTGCTAAATAAAAGTATGAATTAAAAAAAATAAAAGTTCTGGGCAGAAACTGATTATATGCTGATTATAGATAATCCGGATTACGTAATCAGATTCAAAAAGTTAAATAATTGAAATTAGATTATATTACGTTTAAATTACTCATAATCAGACTATGGTTCCTTTGGCAGACAAAATGGAAGTTTTCTTTCTCTTTGTATTTTCATATCAATATTGTACTATATTATCCTATTCAAATCAATGTGATAAGATAGATAGATAGATAGATAGATAGATAGATAGATAGATTGATAGATAGATAGATAACGTAGGGATATACATTATATAGCCTATTATTATATAAACTAAACTAAACATCAACAACTCATGATGCACTACTAGGAAAGAGCCCATTTTCTCAAGACCCATCCACCACAGATTTCCCCCACATATGAGGAGTATTTATAGTGACGTCATTATATAAGAAAGGCATACATCCTTTAATTATTTAACACTGCTGAACGCATGAGGGTTTGGTAGGGGGTTGGTTGGGGGATGGTTGAGGGATGGTGGGGTTTTCTCCCACAGAGTCATTGAAACAGAACTTGAGAGGGTTTCAGTGTATTTCCGCCAACTAGATCGACAGGCACTGCTGGAACGCTAAAACTGGTCATTCCTCTCTAATGATGTTTGTGGCCTATTTAAATGACCATCTCGAATGAACAACATTTCTGTGTGGTGCTCCACAGACCAATCTATGAAAATCCAATAAACGTGTAAACCCATATCCTGCACACAATCTTTAAGACTCAGATGCACAAGCGCTTAATGCAAGTTTCCTCAAGCAAAACAAACCTTATTCTTGTTTG